GTAGTTGTAAAATTGTTGCAAGGTGAAATGTTGGCATTGTAAACTAGCATGTGTAAACACTGGCTGAAAACATGGCCAAGCTCAGCAGATGCCAAAACCACATTGCCTCAGTAGTTCAGCAGTAGTTCAGTTTGCATGGTGGACACAAGACTGAAATGAGTGTAGGAACTTTGGAATAGTTATGATACACAGCAGTGTTTCATAATGCTCTGTGTAACCTCCTGTGATTCAGCAAATCTGATCCTAATATTTTGCAGCAATTACAGGGTAGGCTGGGGACTGTTGTTCCAGACAGGTTCTTGTAATTTATCGAAGTCATGAGTCAAGTTTCAAAGAAAGAAAGTTCAGCTTTTGTATCTGATTATTTTGTTGTTACATGCTAAAGCCCCCTTTTACCCTTGAAGCAATCTGCAATATTGAATTAACTTAGGCAATGTATGGCATGCTGTTTAGTTGTGAAAACATGGTTAAACTAAGCTGGGAAATTGATTCCCTTTTTGGATTTGTCTGGGTGACATTGGAATAGCTGGTTCACTTTTCTGTTCCTTTCTGCAAGGCTGCTGTTGCCTCAGGCTGCCAGTCACGCTGTGGCTGCTGGTAGGGATGGCTGCACTGTACACCCCTCAGTCCCAAATGAAAATGAAGGCTGAACCTTGCAAACTACACTCATTCCTCCAGCTGCCAGCTTGCCTTAGCCTGTGCCTGTTGTGGTGGGAATGTAGGAAGCAGTGACTGTGTCTGAAAGGTGATTATCACCTGTGTCTTCTGTGGGAGCTCTGTCTGATGGGAGCTGTCAAGTTTGGCATGTCGTATTCCTTAGGAGCTGTGAGGGTGCATGATCCCAGTGGGAGCTGGGACTGTCACAGTCCAGCTGATTCTGCTGGCTCGTTGGTTGGTTGTCACCAGCTTGTGCTGGGGACTGGCTGGTCCTTTTTCCAGAAGAATCATATGGCCTGTCTAACAGTCAGGAAAGATCTACACTCCTCTGTACTGAGTGTGGAGCTTTTTACAGAACCGTCAACATTGCTTTGTACTCTGTACTAAGAATCCCTTACTGTTTTCAGTTCTGCTGTTCCATCAATGCTTGGAGCCTTTTGGGTGAGTTTGCAGCAGAACTTCTTGTATTATGGCTAAAGGCAGATCTGTAGCAATAGATATGTGGAGAGAATATAAGAGAATTTTGATAATTATGAATGTTTGTAAAATCAAAATAAGTCAACTATTGGCTTTTTAAGAGGTCTCTGGATGTAACTTTTGCAAAACTATATAGGTGGCAATGGCCTCGACGGTGGAATTCAAAATTAGCTTCTTTCAGGGAATGAATGACAAAATTTCATCTGTGTGGAAAAAATCATGCTGATCACACTCAATTAATTATAAGGAAATGTTGCTTGATGAAGACTGCAAGGATCAGTCTCCTATTCTCCAGTATTGCATTTTCTTGACTTTCTATTCCTGTTTATTGCATTCTATTGACTTTCTATTCCTATTTATAATAATGCAAAATTTCATCAGTGTATGGAAATGGGATTTTGATAGCAAAAAAAATAAAGGCGGGGGATCACCTGTCAGCAATCCTGAATATGGCTGGTTTTTGGATTTGACCCTGATTTCAGCTCTCTTCTTAGCTGGCAGGTGCCTGGAGGCCTTTCAGTCTGCTGTAGGAGACCTTGTTTTAAAAACAGTAGTATTTTTTGCCTAATTATAAATGCAGATTTTGCATGTGTTTGAGATTTACAAGGCCTTGCTTATGTGAAACAGGCTATAAACTCTCCTTGGAAATGTATAGTAGTCTGGAGTAGATAATTACACTTTGAGAAAAGAGCCTCTGTTTCCAGTGAAAACACTGTGAAGTTATTTCAGAAATGCTCTGACCTCAGACGTTTCATATAACTTACACAAAATGCTTTCACATTTGTTCGGCAGCTCGTGGCTTGATCTCTGCCATCTCATAAACCAAAGCACAGAAGTCTCCCTGGGAAAAAAAGCAGCAAGTCCATGCTGTGGCCTACAAAACTAGTGTTATTTTACTCACTCTGTGCTTTGTGTCTGTACCCTTAAACAGAAGAAACCTTGACCTCCTTTAAATAAATCTGTCTCCTAATTACACCCCACCCCCACAAACCCAGCTTTCCCTCCGATTTTTCTTCCTCCCTTCCTCCACTCAGTGTACACACACTAATAAACTCTGCAGTAAAAACCTTGGGAGAATTTCTCAGCACAAATGGAAAGAAGATGTCAAAGGCTGAGGATAGGAATTTTCTGGTTAAAGTTGCGAAAACAATAGAGGACGATTGAAACAGTGGGGGAAAAGCCAGAGATGGGTGAACAAGCCATGAAAGTATTCCATTAATTTTTATTTTGATGAAACCCCACTGGTTCTCTTCACTTGCATCCAAAAGAACCATTTTATTTGCATTTGTTTGTTTTTCAAGACTCTTGCAGAAAGCAAAAGCATTGCAAATACAAGAGAAGAGACTTGTGAGAATGTTCACACCAGAAGTGTTTTTGTGGGCTTTTGAAAAGCTGTTTTTCACCCCTGGTAAAATAAAATTGTCAGATGTTTATGAAGACTCTTATGAAAAATTTGTGTGCTGGCAGGGTGACTTGTTGGAGATGATGGTGTCTGGCACTCAGGGAGAGAAAACACCAAGCAATAAAAAACAAAGCAAAATCTGATTATGATGCGCACAGACTGTTTTCAGAAAATCCTGCACAGAAGAAGGAGAAAAAAAAAGAAATCTGATTCAGTCTTATTTAAAAGCATGTTTGGGTATAGGTTGTACTTTCAGAGAACTCTCAGTAGAGGAGAATATGCAGGGTAGAGGAAGGGGCCAGTTGTGCACTGGTGATGGCTGAATGAACACAATTGCCAGCAGTCGCGCCAGGGAGACAGTGCAGTAGCCCTGCAGATCTGGGGGCTGAGCCCCTCGTGTGAGCTGTAGCTTGTTTCTGTTCCAGTGAGCCAGCTTCGTTCAGGTAGCTGATGTGATCTCTCCTGTTGTAGTTTCTACCAACAGGCAGAGCTGTGGCAAGCATGCTTCAGAAAAGTTAGGAGCCCAAACCCATGAGAATCAGGGCAGGGCCACTCTTGGGCATAAGAGCGGCACCAAGCATCTAAATGAAGGCAGCAACAGCTCCCACAGGACAACATCTGTTTACAGGCTCAGTTGTGTCACGTTACCTATCATTTCGTGCCTAAGGCCTGAGAAATAGGATTCTGACTGTAGCAGATAGGGGTCATGCTATTTGCACTTTGCAGCCAGTGAGATATTCAGAGCCAGTAATGGCTTGGAGATTCAAGGAGGCAGAACACGAGAGCACAGCCCTTTGCTTGTGCTTCACGTTCGCTGTGGAGAGGGCAGCAACAGCCTGCACTGACTGATTTCAGTTCTTCCCATCCCGCAATTACTGTGTTACTGATGGTATGAGTTCACAAATTCACAAGCTCAGTGGCATGTATGTGTAAGCTTTAGAGCAGACCTGCTCTACTGTGATGTCATGTCACAGTACATGTATGGGGAGACTGTAGCTAAAAGCTGACAGTGCTGCACTTAGTTTTCAGTATGTATCTATGTCAACTGGGAAAGGACAGTAGGACTTAAAGCTTAAAAATAATATATGGAGAGACCTTAAAGGTGCAGCCAGGTTGTGTCTATTAATTAAATTATTTTGTTTCATGTGTTTTTAAAGAGGCCAAGTGCTTGCAGGGCAATGCAAAGTGGGCCGGGGTCATAGTTAATTGAGCAGAGAGTTTCCACTCAGCTGGCAGTGAGCGCTTGCTTCCTGAAGGAGACCTGGGCACATCAGGAGGCCGACTTGTTTCTGTGTCCTCTGCAGCAGACAGAAGAGGTGGCAGGCCATGCAAGGAATGGCATATGCTTTAGTTCCTGTGATTCAGCAGCAGATGCTCTCCTCTGGCATGCATCAGAAGCCCTTAAAACTAAGCAGAAAATTGGCTACAACAGGGATTCTCAAAGACTTGCCTGTGGTTGATCACATCTTTAATACACAGCAGACTGACCTCCATTCCACTGCATTTATGTGAACCACATGAATTTTTTACCCATGTTGTTAGTGACAGTCTTTTCTTGTTCTGCATAAACCCTCACAAACACACACACTGCCACACTCTTTGTCTTATCACAGTGAACCATGCTGGTTTGAATGGCTCCTTCTCTGTTTACAGCTGCTTTCATATGTATCTCAGGTCCTTCTTTGTAATGAAACACCTGCATATCTTTCAGAAAGCTGGAGGTAGAGTCTGCACTGTGTAAGCAGACGGTTTTGTGCAGACTGATAGCATTTTTATTCACAAGATACTAACCTGAAAACTAGTGGTTTAGAAACCTGCTCCTAGCTTTCTGAAAAGTGCTTAATAAAAGTGGAATAGGAAAGGACTTCCTATTTGTAATTCTGTCACCTTACTGTTTGTTGGGTGGTAAGTAACAAAAAGTAATACTCCTGCAAAATCATGTTACACAAAGTGCTCATTTTGCCTAAAAAGTCTGCTTGAGACTAAACATCAGTATTGCCAAAGAAAGGAATGAAAACCCTCCTTTTAGAATTTCAAATCCATTTTTCTTTGGCAATCTGATACAAGGAGGGTGCCAAAATACATGACAGATTTATATGTATTTGAATTTATTAAGTGCTCTTGCAAAGAACTTTTACAGTCTAAGAAAACTTTTTTTAATCTTATAGGAGATAAACTATTGTGTCCTTAAGTGAAATCTGTAGATATTTTGCCATTTCAGGCATAGTTTTGCTTGTCTGAGTAAACTGATTCAACACACATTAGCAAACTATTCAAGAAATAGTGTGCAGTTCCTATTATTAGTACAGAAACCATCTCTGGAATAGCACTGGCATTCCAGAGTTAAAAATTATAAGGAATTATATTGTTGGGAAGAAATTGCAGATTGACACAGACCTGTTTCTTGCTGTATCCCAGGACTTCATCAGCATCAGTAAATAATCTTTGCCTTTGTTTCTTTCAGGGCCCTCCTGGTCCAAAAGGCGAGAAGGTGAGTTGGTGTTCGGGTGATTCGTACAAGGTGACTGGAAAGCCCTCCCAGCATGAACTCAAGAGACTGTTTGTATTGATGCAGTGAAATGTTAGATTATGTAAGAGAGCTGGGTAGCACACAGATGCTGTGTTAAACCTATCATCTCATCTTTCCACTTTGCAGGGAGATCAAGGTGATCAGGGCCCTCGGGTAAGCATCTTAAAAAAATGTTCCACTTCCCCTTCGCTGAGTAGGCAATTAGTCTTTAGTGCAAAACTAAATTAAAATACACTGTCTGAGCTAATTATGCTTATTAGCTGCATTTACCCTGCATGTTGAAGTGTCTGCAGGACAGTAACGTGAGCAGGAAGTGTCTGGGAAGATTTGGGTGATTCCCAAGTGTAAAATTTCCATTGTGGGTGGAAGCAGGTTCCACAGTGATTTTGCTCTGCTGTATAAAACTGGCTTTCCTAACCACACCATTCATTTTCCCCAGCAATGTGTTCATGCCATGCATGGGCTTCCACAATGCAGAGGGCCAGAGGGTTTCTAATAAATATACTTCTAGATTTCATGTAAAATGTAGCTAATATTTAGTGAATTATAAACAAATATAATGTATGCATGTATTAGCTTTTTTCCTGACATATATGTATTTAATATTTTTAATAATAATAGTATTATCACCTTGTAGTTACAATCCAGACAGAACATGGTTTAATTGAAGAAATGAGAAGGTTCTTTTAATTTCTAAATGTCATGTTTATTTTAACAGAGAAGTAGAGGAATACAGGAGTGTAAATTCGAATGGATTGGCTGTGCTAATGCACTCTTCTTTACATCTGTGCTTCATTAGAAAACGCTTGGTTACATTGTTCAGATGATATAGCAACTCTCTTTGGTTACATGTTTATAATTTTTCCCATAACAGTATGTTCCATGGATTACTTTCTTCTGTTAACTTTGTTAAATATTTTGAATTTGCAGCTTTATTTCATTCTACTGTTTTGCTTCATATAATTTGATTTAATTGGATTTTACATTTTTTTTCAGCAATAAGATTATCTAAAGTCAAAACATGCTTTTACAGCTGATTTTGATGTTCTGTTAACTGCCAGGGTGCCCTGTTGTGCTTGGTGCTAGGGCTGCACATCATAAAGTCACCAGTCTAAGAGTGAACAGCTTTAAATATTATTTCAGTTCAAACTCATAACAAGTTGGAAAACTACTTAAATAAATGGAAAAGAAAGTAGAGAGTAACAACGAGAGCAACGTGCTTTTTTGTAGAGAACTAAAATAAGAATTAAAGGTTCTGAATAATGTAACAGTTTCCTTTTAACTTTTAAGCAAATTTAGTGTCTCTCTCAGAGGCCATACTGGGCTGTGTATTTTGTCTGGTTCTGTGCTACAGAGCTTTGCAGGTTATGTGAGGAGAGAGGGATGCAGGGGAGGAGAGCAGTGCAGTGCCTGTGGCTTAGGAGAGGATGCTCAATTCAGGTAGCATAAGACAGGCTCGAGTGCAAGTGCTCACACTAAGTGTCCTTACATGCAGAAGAATGCATGTTCTTAATTCACATTCACAGGCTTTAGATTCAAAAAAACAGGAGGGCAAATTTGATGGTAGTTTCAGAGAGGAATGCAATAACAAATATGGAAGAGCAGTGTTGTGAAGAGCGTTACATAGCTGAGGATAAGAATCTGGAATTATGACTGTCAGAGAAGTTTCCAGGGAAAGCCCCAGAGGTCTGAACAATGGAGAACAAATGAAGTGGGATCAACACAAGGGAATTATGCAGAAATCTTGGCAAAATGTTGAAGAGATGTAAGAACTGTTAAGTGGTTAGCATATGTGGCTTTCAGTCCCTGTTCTGGAGGTGTTGGCAGTGCCCAAGAAGAAGATGCAGGTTTGGTCAGTGTTACTGCAATGGGACCTCTGCTACACAGAGGCTGTTGAGTACAACTTTGCCAAGACATGCTCCATATACAGGAAGGCAGTAGAGTCCTTACTGAGCCATAAAAATCATGGTTATGACTATTTGTGGGTTTGGTAAATCAAGTGCAGATAAAAAGCAGAAAATTTCCAACCTGAGGAATTTTTATTTAAGGACATCACAAAGCTGTATCTGCAGCAGCAGCTGGCACTTGAGACTGAATTCTGTATCTGATTACAGAAAAGGAATTCAATAAGGTCAGCAGTGGGGAGGAAGAGGTGATGATTAGCATCTTCTGGACAAGCTGAAACTTTACCAACTCTTTAGTCAATGCAGGTTGTAGTAACATACCTCCTTTTAAAGTATATGGATTCAACTTGGGAAATTTGCCCAGTGTTGTTGGTTTTCCCTTAATCTATTCTGAATATGTTCTACAGCCTCTTCTCCTTTTTTCCCCTCCATATTTCACAAGTAATAAGTACCATGAAGCCTCTGACCATTTTATGTTTCATGGTACAGCAGTTATCTCTTCTGATAACTGTCTTCAGGGTGAGTCTGCTCAACCTGCTGTGCCAGGGGATTTACAATATAATTAATAGAATTTTTATGTGTAAGCCACTCATGCACCAAATGAAACTAAACCCATTTAGTCCTGGTTGGTTACCTTTGCACACAGTTTTCCATCACTGCGTATGTAAAATAAATAGGTTTGGAGGTAATGGCATACAATATTATTTTTGAGAAATATTGTACCTGAAAGTAACTGGGGCGTGACATTAACACTTGGATTTGACAAGTTTGCTCAGATTGGATATAATATCTAAGAGCAGTGAACGTTTTAGTGCTAATTCATCTTTTACAGGTAAGGAGCCTGAAGTTTCTTTGGGTTTATATTTTTACATACTGGCTTGAAACAAGCGATTAACTTAGCAAAAACTTTTAGTGTTCCAAGCTATGACCAAAATTTCAAAATGGCACTTTTTTTTTAGATAAGCTGCTTTCTTTCCTCTAGGCATTTTTTAAAAAGAAATCGAAATAAAATGTAAAGAGTGTCCAAATCAAGATGAGACCTTAAACTTCCAAAAATCTGCTGATAAGAAAATAGAAAGATATTTGTGAGAACATTTTGCAAGAGGAAAAGATATTGTTTTCTGTCCCACCCATGTTTTGTCACCATGAGATTTTTTTGAGGGATTATTCTTTCTGAAAAAATTTCAAAACCATAAAAATAGTAGTTATCTCAAAATATTCACAGTCACTGGACATGTCGACTATATACTGAACTGCTTTGTAGTTCAGGTTTTCTTGAAAATTCCTTCAATAGAGTCATACACTAAGAGCTCAGCCATGCAAATACCAGCCAGAGGTCAAGCACTTGTATTTTTAGAATAATTTGGCTGGCTTTTGAAGGGGTTTTACATTGTTTTTTTGGTTTTTTTCCAAGAATCTAATAAATTTTCTTAAGTGTTCAGAACTAGTCTGTGGATCAGTATCCTTCATTGAGCAGAGATGGCATAAGGGTTCTAGTTTGTAATGCCATGTGGCTTGATCTACCAATGTCCATATTGTGTGGAAAATATGAGCCAAAACACATTCTAGTAGTGTGAATGGTACAGAAATTCATACCCTGAGTGTGAGTTTGAGCAGCAAGTTAATATAGCTTTTAATCACATAAGACCACCAATAAGGTACTGATGGTGTATTCTGATCTTATTTGGAAAAATTATGTTTTTATCTCTTTATGTATTTTTATATCAGATCTCTAATTACTCTGAAGTTCTGGTTGGCTAAGCATTTAGGTCAAATGCAGAACTAGATTTCCTTGATACCAGTGTAAGAAATGGTAATAATATATCTTTTGGATGCTCTTCTTTTTGCAGAGGGCATGGCTTCATGAAATGTCCATGGAGATTTGCTTTACTGTACTGAGCCATGAGAAAATTAAAAATGATGGAGTTTAGCCTGTGGACTGTTAGAATAAATGGTGATATGAGGCTGCTCAGTTACAGTTCTAGTCCAATTTTAAAAAAAGCCTTTGAAAATTTAATGATGGTAGGATTTCAAAGGATGTATTGTCCAAGTAGAGACTTCATCTTGATAATGGAAACAGGTCTACAGAGGTGAATGTTTGGGATCAGAACAGCTAGTATGGAATGGCTTAGTGGATGTGAAGGGAAACTTTTTAATCAAGGGTGAGGAAAAGGCTGAGGTACTTAATGCCTTCTTTGCCTCAGTCTTAACAGAAAGATTGGTTGTCCCAAGGGCAACCAGCCCCCTGATGTGGCTGACAGGGATAGGGATCTGAAGAGACCCCCTGCAATCCAGGAGGAAGTAGTTATTCCTGTTGTGCTACTTAGAAGCTGACACATCTCTGGGCTGAGATGGGGTTCACATGAAGGTGCTGAGGGAGCTGGTGGAAGAGCTGGCCAGGCCACTCTCCATCATTTATCATCAGTCCTGGCCACCTGTGGGGGTCCCAGATCACTGGAGGTTGCCCAGGTGACACCCAGCTACAAGAATGGTCAGAAGGAGGATCTGGAGAACTGTGGGTTTGTCAGCCTCACCTCAGTGCCAGGAAAAGTTATGGAAGAGATCATGTTGGATAAGATCATGCAGCATGTACAGGACATCCAGGGGATGAGGCCCAGCCAGCATGGATTCAGGAAAAGCAGGTCCTGCTTGGCCAACCTGATATTCTTTCATGACCAGGTGACCTGCCTAGTGGATGAGGGTGGTGTTCAGTTGGAAGTTGGGCTTGATGATCTTGGAGGTATTTTCCAACTTTAGTGACTCTATGGTTCTTAGTCTTTTCTCAGCCTTCTGTGAATGACATAATAAATATCTTCTGTCCTTAATCTCAGATACATGAGAGATTTCTTGCTTATCAGGGCTAGAAATAATTAGCTAGAAGTTGGTTTTAAATTGGTTTTGGGCTAGGTGAAATAGGATACCACCCAGAAGCCAGACTTAAATATTTTTCCACGAAATAATTTTCTACTTTTGTTGTGTTTAAATAAATTTTCCTGTTGGCTGGGGTGGCACAGAACTGATAATATTGCTAAAATATCTTAAGGAGGAAAGATGAAGTTCTAGAAAAGATGGGAACTCAGAAGTTCATTTTATTTTGTTAACCTTTATTGACTTGAAGATTAAAAAAATTCCTTGAGTCCTGTTAAAACAGTTAGGTTGAGATAGAGGTATAATGTTCTTTTCTAGATAACCCTTTCCCCTATTTACTTTTAATATATTTGCTACTTACTTGCTCCCTGGTAGAAAGAA